TAATCATCAATAAACCATCCCCCCGGCCAATAACTGAATCTTAAACCAAGGCACCCGCTTCCTTTCCTCCCCAAAAGCGAGGGGCGCTCGGTAGCTTTTCCACCAGGGCAGGGCACCCTGCGGGGGTCGACTTCATTGGAATGTCGCACGGGCACAGTCAAGGTCTTCCTCTTCAGCTGGTTGATGCTACTGTTGGTGTGCTTTTTATGCTGTGTGCTTCTCATGGAAAGGCAGGGGTGCAAATTGAGACACGAAGAATAAATACGGGAACCCGGAAGCCGCCTTCCGCAGAGTCCTGCTATCTGGTCTTTGGAGTCGTGGCTGAGGAGGACTTCCTCCCCTGTGGCCCTTTGTTGAGCTGGGACTGCCTGCTGGTAGAAGGTACCAGGCAGAGCGTGTGTCATCTTGGCATGGAGCAGCCTGTGCCAAGCAGCAGCAGGACACCCCAGGGCGTCCTTCTGGCCCAGCACCAGAGGGAACCTCTGAGCCCATGCGCTGGGGCTGCTGCTCTGCGCTTGGCATCGTCCACACAGCTCAGTCCTTTACGCCAACCTGTGCCCTGAGCTTCTTGCCACCATGGCAGGTATTTGCATTTGGGGGAGGAAAGCTGTTCCTGGCCAAGCGAGAAACAGAGCTGGCGGAAAGCAAGGGAAAATCTGTGTCTCCCGGGAAAGACAACGGCTGGAAAAACGCATCTCTCTGCTGGCATCAGAGCAGCCTTGTCTGGAACAGTCCTGCCTGGCCACGGGCAGTGGAATAAAATCCACCCAACTTGCATCTGGCCAGCTGCAGCCCCTTCCCACCCCCCCTTCTGTTCCAGAGCTTGGAAATGCTGAGCTAATTCTGATCAAGACCATAGATTTGCGGGGGGGTGCTATTTTGCCGATGACTCTTTCCGACTGGTGAGCGTGGAGCTGCGGCTTGAAATGTGGGATGGATCTTTGGAGCAGAGGGATCCCGTCAACCCCTTCTTGAACTCCCCGAGCTAAGCCTCTCCCCATTTCTT